ATTTGCATTGCCCGGGTTTCTTAAGGAGTGAATTTATTAATTATTTTCTTAATTTTGCAGTTCCTGGTAGTTCATCTAAATGGGAGGACGTTCAGACCAAGGCCCGACAGCTGTTGCTGAACACGTTTGGAATGTACAAGTGCTCTGTCCAGCTTCAGAGTTACAAACAGGAAATGAGCAAAACCTGCGCGAGTTGTCAGAGTTCCAGTGCCTAATTTCATACGTTTTGGGAACTGCTGCCTTATTCTTTACCTTGTGTAGTCAAAGACTGAGAGCAATAAATGCAAAATGAAAATTATACAATAGTAACCATTAATATGTGGATTTGTACCATGGGACATGCAGCAGGGAGAACTGGTGCTGCAAAAAGTGCAGCGGCTGCCCTACAGAACATGTATTTCACTCTCTCTGTTGTACTGGTTTATTCAATTTGTTATGATTTTGAGACAAAGCTGGTTTTGGATTAATGTTTACAAACTGGAACACGGCTCTGCAGATACCTCACAAATTACAGTCCAATATTGTCCTTTAATCATTACGTATCACAAAGTACCTGCACTCCAAACGGAGCATTGGATATTCAGTATTTCAGTCAAAAGTCTCTAAAGCTGATCATACCAGGGTTGCACAATGTATCATGATCCCCAAATTCATTATTCAGTATTTTTGCAATAGTAGTTTTCATACAGTATCTCAAACTATTAACACATACATTAAGTTGAATTCTTGTGGAAGCTGTCTCTTCAGAGACACTGCAAAATACAGAACTTACTGTACCCAGACCAGAAAGTTAGCTTTAATCTGGGCATTCAGAGATCCAGACAGGAAGATCCTTGCCCGGACTTCTGGTATTTAACTAGAGACCCAACACTGGACCCAAAGTGTTTTAGGTGATCAGTTACCTTTAATGTATTTTAGAATAGGGTTTATACATTAGAAACAGGTTATTTATTTTACAAAGTTTTGACTTGTAAGAAGAATTTATTATTGATAATCTTGAATGTCTAAACTATCATTTGATTCACATTAAATGGCCAGTTGATTAGCATGCATTCTAATTGTAATTAATAAATGTCCTGTAATTGATAATTTTTCCATGATTATTTTGTTTTAAAAGAAAAGTCAAATGATAGAAGTGATATTTGACATGGAAATACTCTCAAATGCAGTCTTCAGATACGTGCATCTAACAGGAAAGTGGGGAGCAGAAGTTTTAGAGATGCACAATTCCACCCATCACAATCTCTGATCTTTTCATCTTTGAGCACAGCATGGCAGCATCCTGATGGGAATGCCACTGCGATAGCAGTTCCCACTACTTAGCTTATGAATAAAGCAAAATCCAAGCAAGCTCAGTAAACTAATGCTGTTGGACAACAATATCATAACAACCTACAGTGGCAGAAAGGCTTTTGTATTTACAGAGAGGAGGCACCCTGAAAAGACTGTGTATTCATCTCAGCTCAGAGTCCACAAAGTGGAACTGTTTGGCCTCATTGTGGAACCTGTGTATTTTGAATGTACACAAGATAATAAATCTTTACACTAAACTATCATACACCTACAAGCCCAGATTTAACCTGTTTCTGAAGTCATTGGCATTGAAGAAGCAAAGGGCAGCAAGAGTATGACCCACAAAGTTCAGAAGATCAGAAGATGGCTTCAAATACATTTTAATTCTGTATTTTCATCTTATGCAGAACTTCCACTGACATGAAAAGTAGTTCTCTGTGGAAAACTTTTGCCCAGTTACGGTTATTGTGATATTCAGCTGTGAATACTTCAGCTATTGTCTGTTTTGAAACTTGCTAGGGTTTCACATTTTCATCAGGCTGATTTGTATCTGCATTTGGTGGTAACAATTTTGGCTTCTTTTCTTCCCTTTTTGGAGGTAAGGGATCAGATGATGAATTTTTATTGATGAAAGCTGACAGCACATTGTGAATTTGGACAAAATGCACATGACACTGGATTGTGTTTGTATCTGTTTGGGCAAGAAATGGGAGCACTCGTGTACAGCATGGGAGCATGTGCAGCTCAAAAGCAGCACCATGCTCAGGAAGGTAATGCTGCAATACAAACACTATCATTAATTAAGCCATATCACAGTTCATGAAAAATGTGCATCCCATCCTTACAAACTTACTGGCAAAACCCACCAACAAAAGGTATTTTGCACATACTAATGCTCAAATGGGTTTTAATTAAACTGGAGTTTACCGTTGATGTAATTAGATGTTGAAGTACAGTAGACATGTATTGTATTTGCAGTTTTTTAATAATTTACTATACATTTGTTTAATTGAAGCAAAAAAGTGTGTTGTTTTATTGTGGGTTTTATTAAATAGATTATTAAACTTCACATTGTCTTATAAAATACTTGTATTTCTCTCATCATCTTAAAATTCTTACAGCAATCTGATTCTTAGGGCAGTGTGTTTTGAAATGTCTGACCACTCAGCTTTAACTCAGTTTGCAGATGCTATACATAGAATTGATTGTCTCTGTCTTTAGTCAGAACAATTAAAGACTTGTGATTTTGTATGCAATAATTGCACTTTAGAAAGTATAAGCTGACAAAGTATGGTGAAGGATCACCATAAAGCAACTGGCAAAACATTCCTGAAACCCGACATTCACCCTTGAGGGCCATAGTTACCAAGGTCTGTAGACTAGAAGGTCACAGAAAAGGCAACAGAAGACAAAATGAGAATAAAGAATAAAAGAATCAGTAAGTTTTCATAGATACTTCAAGATTGTTTTCAGTATCAGCTTAGAGAAAAGGGGCATTATTATAAATAAGGTGCCCTGTTTTTCCAAGCCACATTATTTCATGTGGCTAAGATAGTTTAGACACTCTTACACTATTCTTTTCCTTCTAACAAATCCTCTCTTTGAAATAAAAATGCATGTTCTTGACGGGACTTCTTTCTAAGCAAAAGACTTCCAAGATCTGAGCAGGTTTCCACAACCAGTGTCCCTGGTTTCCAGAGCTGTGCTGGAATGCTCTTGCTGACTGACCAGATGAAATCTCGAGAAAATTCTGTCACTTCTGGAAGTCCACATTGGGAGAAGGTTTTTACTTTCTAAATCTGTGATTGTCACCCATCCTTTTCTGAAGCACAGATACAGTTTTGATGACAACCTACTCATATGAGTCAATAAAACATTTTCATATGAGTAGACTGCAAACCCTCACATCCCACTCTTCCCTTCTGAAGTGTTCTTATCCTAAGAAGAAAATTATCAGCAACATATTTTGTTTCTGAATGTTTTCCTTGCTTAATTATGTGGTTTGGTTTTTGTTTTTAATTGTGTTGACATTTTGTCTTTTCAATACCAGCAGCATTTCTTTCTTCACCAGCAGAATTACCATTTAAAATGTCATACTTGAATCTGGTCTTCAATTATCTCACTACTGTACATATCTGCTATTTCTTGCAGAATCACTCCCAAGTGGCAGAATGACTCAGAAAAGCAGAAGGCTGGCATTTAAAAGTAATTTTCTGACATAGAACCAAAAACCCCAGAAGACACTGATAAGTAATGAGTGGCAAGGATTTTGTTCAGGTATTTTGGTGTGATCTCATGAGGACACTGCACTGATGCTGCACAGGGCAGGGCTGTTAAAGCATTATTTCTCTCTAGAAATAACTATAGGAGTGTAATAAAGATAGGTAGTTGGGTAAAAGACATGATACATACTGCAGCAGCTTCCTAGTCCAATAAACTAGTAAACTAATCCATTGCCAGAGAAGAAATTCCCTTAGGATCTCAAGAGAAGGGGACAATCCCCTGGAAATATCCAGCTTATTTCCTTCTAACCAAAATGGCATTGCCAAGGTCTTTTTCTTGCTGGTTGCTCCAAACACATTCCATTTTTCCAGGAGTGAGCACATGTAGCTCAAATGTCATGTTTCACCAGCTCTTTGCACTCTGCCACTGCTCTCAGCTTTCCTATCTGTTTTCTTGCCATATTCTGTCCTCTCCACAGTTTCATTAATAATGTTCAGCTCACATCTGGGCACCTGCTGCCTACAGGGTCACCAGGAGCTTCTCTCACTGTACCAGGTGTAGAACACACCCCAACAATAGTGCTGTTCAAATACAGGCTTGCCTTTGCCAGAAGGTCATTTCCTCTTTCATCAATAGGTTAAAAAAAAGACTTCTAACAAAGTTTCTAATTCACTGGAAAGACTTAATCTGAAAGCCTCTAGATTCTCTTTCTATTATAAAAAATTATAAATGTCCTTCACATTCCCCACCCTTAATTCCCTTCCAGTTTCACCCTCTCCTCCCCTTTATAGCAAATCGGGCTGGACACTGACAGTCTCCGTGGTCTGGAGCTGGCAAGTCCCCTACTGTTCTACACTGCTTATTCCATTTTCCACAGCTGAATGCCCTAGGAAGGACCCTAAATGCTCTTTCATTCTCTGAAATACCTGACACAACTTTGGAAGCTACTAGAATAAAAATGGATCCTTTGAATTTACTGTTTTGCAGCCACCACACCAATGTGCTCTTAAAACACTTCTGTGTGTACAGATGTAAAATGATAATATCCACATTATTGTATTTGCTCTTTTGAATATTTTTATTATTTTATCTCTATTTTTATTTTCTACATTGTTTTCTCTCAGTATTGCACTGTTTGAAAGTGACTGGTGCTAAATATGCAGGATAAATTAACTGCTTTTGTTACAGCTATGAAGCATTCACACCTTTTATGGCATCAATTTTTGTAGGGAAAAAAAGCCATTTCAAAAGAAAAAGTATATTTTTATCCTTAAGATGACTGCTTCATGATGCCTTATTTTTATACATGGTAAAAAGACAAGTTGTTTCTCCAGAATCATTATCAGCCAGTACATGAGGGTACACGAAATCAGTCAGTTCTGCCTGTCCAGAGTGCATTTTGCATTGTTTTATATAGTAAACTAAGTGCTGATACTCACAGGGATTTTTACTTCAGCTGATGAATAAACAAAAGGACCCAGATGGCAAGGCGACTAAATTTTGCTTTTATCAAAGGTGCATTAAGAACACCCAAGTCCCTGCAATCTTTCTATTTCTTTTTCCAAAAGCACACACAAAGAAATTATTTAATAAACCCCTAAATAAACTGATGAAATGTGAACTTATAAAACTAGTTACTGTATAATTCTAGTATCTGGCCTTTTAATTGCAAAACAGAATTTTTGAGAAAAGCACTGTAAAAAACCATTTTCATAGTTAAGATGATGCTCCATATTTCAACGTAGCATACAATTATTCTGCATTTTTTAACAGATTTCTCATGTTCCTGTTTCCAGGCCCCCTGTGAGAACAAGTCTGACACACCTGTATGAACAAAGATTATCTTCACCTTCCAGGCCGTTCCCGGCTTTCCCAGACGATGGCGCACCGCTCCAGCGTTAACAAGGAGCTGTGTGCTGAGGAGGGCCATGGAGACTTCCCGCTGGCAAGGGAATAGATTTTATTACATATTCTAGAAATGTCTTATTAGTAAGTAAAGAAACAACAACACAACTCCAAAACACCCTCCTCACCCTAAAATAAACTCCTACAAAACCCTCTTATTTTTCCACAGGGATTTTGACTTTTTAATGGATGCAATAGGGAAAAGCACAAACCTAGCACAGACTGGCTAATCAGTTACTGGGAAGGAGTTTAGACACCTCTTGAAGGCATATATTGGTAAATACCATGGAATGCAGGCTCCATTGCTTTCCTCCAGTTACAAACATCTAAGAAAAAAATATATGAGTAGAAATTAGTTGAGGTGACAGATATTTGAAATGTAATTAGAACAGATTATATTCTTTAATGTAAACAAGGTAAGTTATCACGCAAGCCCTTTGTTTCTATGAAAATAAGTATTCCTTCTTTGGGTGCTGAATTCATGTTTCCAGGACAACAGATGCTTCCATCTGAAACATTCCTGACTGCTTTTTTTCTGAAGAACCAGAGGACACTTTCAATCAAAAACATAAACCGAGGAAAAATAATTCTGTTTCAAACTAGGCAGGTACAATTATAAATGGTGAATATTGTTGTGTTTACATGCTACAATCACTAGTGCAGTAGTGTTTTTGGATTTAGTGGAACAGACTTCAGGGAGAGAAATACAGATGAGAGAGGCTGCTGAACTCAGAACCACAACACCCTTCCAGTAAAGTCTTCTTTCATTTCTTGAAGCTATTGAGCAATTCTGTATTTTCTAAGCTATTGCAGAAGAGGCACACCTTAAACTGGAAACAGAAATTGCCCAGCCAGTTACACACTGGTTTCTATTTGCTTGAAACAGAATCTAGATGGATGAAATGAGGATGTTTTTTAAGCAACCTAGCTTCCTCAACTTGCCACAGAGCAAGGTTCAAGTCATATAAAAGAAAATTCAACGGAAAGTAACTCTCTGCTTATCAAATGTTAAAGGTTCATGTGCAGTTAGCTGTAAATGAAGATATGCTTTAGATATGCACACTTGTGAATAGCTGTGCAGGATACCTCGTTACATTAGCTCCATTAACTGTCTTTGTAAAGCAGCAATGAAAGAGTATTTTTCTTCCACAGACTTACTGAGATTGCTCTGACAAGAGGATCAAGAGAAGAGCTAGTTCCTAATTTTAGCTGTCAGAGCTAGAAGGAAGCTGCTCATGGAGTTTGAGTAATAATAAAATGAAACCCTACTAATGAGCCCACCACCTGCTATGGCTAAGTAGGGATATTCATACTGCAGGATTGTTTGCTTGGTTTTGTATTTTGTTTTATTTTTTTAATTTTAATTTTTTAAGAGTCTATATATTGTTTATGATGCAAGGTGTGTTTGTGTGCAAAAGAAAAGGAAGGAGGGAATCAAAAATAAAGCCAGGTCACATGGGTAATGCAGATATCAAGTGGGAAACATTAGACTCCATTACACAAACATGCAACCAAGTATGGAACATACTAATGTACCTGCAGCAAATTGTGGTGGTCAGAACGGAAGTCAATACCAATTTCCTTTACAGACTGCACCATTCATTGATCTGTTGTGCAGTTCAACAAGACATCTGATGGTTTTACAGTCACTTTTCTCCTAAACAAGGTAGGTTTTACTTTTCAGCCCATACCAAAAACTTTGATTATTGTATGAAAAAAATAATATTGGAGTGTTGCCCGTATGTCCCTTCTTTGTTGGGTTGCTATTAATTCTTTTATCTGTTTAGTGAAGAACAAAAAAGCCCAGTAGATGAAGAACTTCACTTAGCTTTTGCTTTTTGAAACTGATTATGCTTTGTTTCAACAAATGTTCTGTAGCTACAGCAATACCCTGTGCTGTACTATTCCTTAAGGAATGCAGGTTATACCTGTGGCACTGCCAGCCAGACAACTGTGAGGATTTCTAGAAGCAGATAGGAAGGTCAAACATTTTGGTTCTTTATTGAGGGAATCCATCTATGACTTTGGTGGTAATTCTGTTTACTGCAGAGGGTGTGTACACCTATGCCCTTCACACCTACTGAGAACAGTACTCAACAGTATTTCCTCAGCCACAAACCTCCCTGTAACACCCTGTTTTGTGTAGTGGAAACACATCCTCTGTGAACTAATAAAAATACAGGAACTTGAGCAGAGACATGCCCAGTTCCTAAACGTTTTAATTTTCCTTAAGAAAGAGAATTTTCAAAAAACACATACTAGTACATATACTCAACCCCTACAATATTTACTGTATTAATTCCATGTCTCCCTGAAATCAGTGTAAAACATTCACATAACTCCAAACTAATGTTTTTTCATCTACTTTGTAAAACATGCTATTGTAACACAGGAATTATGGCCAAGAGTTTGGCAATGAGGCAATGACTAGAACTGCAAGTCATTGTGCCTAGGATTGTGGTGTGGATTTCTGCTTTAGGGAATGAGGTGGATACTGCAGTCTTGAAGATTAATTAATTTTTTCTGACCACAGCATGTTTCATTCAAAGTCTTTGACAAGAGGAAAAATAAACACAGTAATGGCAGTATAATGCTAACATATTTAATAATGCTAACAGCATGGGCAGCATAGTGATAACAGTCAAAAAAAATATTTAGGCTTTACTGAATTATAAAAGAAGTCACAGCAGAAGGGAAAGATGCATCATTAAGTGAAACAGTTTAAACAACTTCAATAAAAAAAACATGTCTCCCTTTGTTTCAATGTAGTCAACTGGTGATTTATTAGCAGTAATGACTTTGCTTTTCTTTGGCAAACTGATAAGATTTTTCTGTTACTACCAGGGATCAGGACTTTCTGCATTTACTTCCTTGTTTGTGCAGTGGTAGCATCATATAAAGGACAGTGTTTATTAGTTACCAGCCTATTGGAAATACATTTAATTCAATTAAAGAAGTGACATCCAACTGAAGAGGAAGAATATGGTAGTTTTACTAAAGTTGAAATCTTAAACACATTTATTTACATGAAAGAAGTTTTTCAGACTTGTGTGGCTTTCTGACCTCTCAGCTAATACAGAACTTTGCAATGAAAAATTCACATAGTGTACAATACTGGAACAGGAAGGGAAAGAACTCCAGCTTTTCACTAACATTAATGGAGGTGAGTGTTCCTTATTTACACCTCACGCCATGCACCAGTGCTTTCTGAAGATAAAATGCAGTTCTGTGCAAAAGGCTGATGCAGCCCTTGAACCCACAGTTTACCTCTGGAATACCAGAACAGTCTGGTCTCATGCCAAATACTGTAAAAATGAGTAAAATGATAGAGAGTGGCTTGAAAACCAAAGAGTTCTACAGAACTGGAACTGTAAAGTGGGGTGCAGGTGGCTCTGCCTTGAGACTGCATGATTTAATGCTTTAGGATTTTGACAGGATTGCTACAGAACTCTGGTCCCCATGGTCCATTTTTGGTGCTCTAGCCTAATGACTTATCCTCCAGAGTCTCTAGATCCTCAGTTTACCATCCTCTGGTAACAGCAATGTCTGTGCAGAATTCCAATGCCCTTCAGCAGGGAAATCTGATTATAAAATCAATGTCTGTGATGAAAGTCCCAAGTTCAAGAGCTATCATCTCCTCTCCCTGCTTCAGGAACACTTGGGGTCAATGAAGTGAGCAAATCTGGCTGAGGGAGAGCTAAGGGAGCTTGAATTTACAGAAATTATGTCTTCTAATTACTCAAAAAATACACAAATGAAAAAAAGCTGTTTCTCAGCTTCTGCCTGGGCTGGCACTATCACAGTCTGCCAGCCCACAGGAATCACTATGATTTATAGTGCTTAGGATTAAAAACTGCCAGACCACTTCAAGTTTGGAGTTACAGAATATGAAGAAATTATTTTACCATTTACTTGCAAAGAAACAACCAGATGAACAGAATTTCAGTAACAGAACAGCCCTTACTCAAAACAAAAGCTATCCAGATAGAAGTGGGGAGCAAGAGCCTCCCATAATATTATTAGCAGATATGGCCTTTATTTTTCTGTAACAGCATAATTTAGAGAGAGCTTTCAGTGGAATGGACCCTACCTACCAACATAATGTTAATTTGTTAACAAATTCAAAGAAAAACTGCAAATGTTTTTATGTGAGTCTATTGAAAGATAATCATGCTTATGGCTCAAATTTGTGCTTCATTTTTTAAAAAATGGAAAGACAATTTTTAAGTAATTTTGTTATTTATGGATATAAGGGTGCCTGGAAATGTTTAGTTTATGTATCCCTACTGTTATTAGTAAGGCTCTGCCTTTTTTCAACTATGATGCATTTATTACAATCCATCAGCATAAATAAAGCAAAGCAGAAGAGGAGAGAGGGAGAAGAAAGGCAAACATTAAAAGCAGGGCCTCTTCTGCTTAATTTCTTACTTTAAACCATCAGCCCAACTATATTCTGATCTACTCACTTGATGTGTAACTTTCTAAAACACAGTGTAGGTCTACCAAGAAACAATAGTAATAGAGAAATAATTAGGCCAATAAAAAATTAAGTTTTTCTGATGTGTTTGTTTGATGGGTGAGACAGAAAGAGATTTGGCAAGAAGAAAACACGTGCCAACAAGTGAAAAAATGAATGAATCTCAATAGAAAATAGGGAGGAAGATGTAAAAGGCAGCAAGAAAGTAATGCCAGAGTCTAGAAATATTCTATATTAAATATTTCAAGTTGAATGAGTGATTTTGCTACTGCTCAACAGCCAGTAAAACTGGAAGCACATCTATCTGAATTTTAACTGATGTTCACAAGTACTTTTTTAAACTTATGGAAAGATGGTCATAAAAGTGACTTGCTTTTTATCTTAAAACATTGTATGATGAAGTCTAAGTTATTTATATGGACCTTTTAGGGAATGTTACACACATTCCAATCTTGGCCATGAGCAGAAGAAATGGCATTGCCAGCCAGGACAGGAGCACATCTGCCAGCTCAGCACTGCACTCCTGGCTGTCGCTGCTGCTGCTGCACAGCTGGGCCTGTTCATGGGGCTCCACACACAGAGCCACCAGCCAGGACAGCCTGGACACCTCCAGGGACTCCAGACACAGCCTGTGCAATGTTCCAACCCCCAAACAGAGGCTATGCAGCTGCCCTGGTGCACCAGGCCAATACTTAGAAGGCTTAAACATGAAAACCAACACCAAACCAAACCCTTTGTCATGCTCCTCTTGCTAAGAGACAAAGGTTTGTTTAAATTAATTTGGTAACCTGGCACTGAAGGCCAGTACTGTCCTATATCCTGATACCCAGACAAACTGCCTCTAG